TTACAGTTTCTATTTGGAGTAACTTGTCTTATCAGGTTACTGCAACAGGCTGACAACAACATCGCTTGTCATACACTCTCTCGATTGGTGAGCACACAAGACAAAAAAATGGATGTTTTGGGTGATCAATTTGCATCAGAATTATGCAGGAATATATCATTCCATTTATGTGCAAAGGGTTTTATTTGATTTTGTCTTACATGCAAAACAATGTGACTTTATAGATAATTGTGAGGAGAGAGTATGGTTGTTAGAAGGTTTTGAGAGTGTGAGTAGTGAGAGAAAAAATGAGTTAAATCCTCTCAACCCCAACCATTTTCTTCTCCATGTATTGAGTGAGTGCTAGACACTTTTATCTTTCCGGAGACCTCGTTAGAGGAAAGAGAAATCGGAGTTCCGATCAGGGGAGGTGTCCAGATTTTGAGCAGCTCTGCTCCGTGGTCATTGTCAACACGAATTTGTGACAACATAAGCCTGTGGAGGTAATTTCCAAGGTAAACCATGTTAGGAGAATGAGTTGAAAGAGTTGTGGTTGTCTTTGTTCTTAATCAGCACTGATTAGTGAACTTCTCTTGGATTAGTATTCCCCGGATGTAGGATTGTTTATATCCGAACCGGATAAATAAACCCTTCTCTCATTTACTGCTTTGTATTTTCCGCATACATTCAGTTGGCAGTATGGTGTTACAACTGTGATATAACCACGCTTCGGGAGTTGACACTTGAATAGGTGTTCGAAGGAATTTTGGTGCAACACTTATTCCTCCCAACATTTCGTATCAGAGCAGTGTTGTCCAATTTTTTAAGTAGGTCCTCTCACAGTTGCAAAGATGAGCAAGGAATGTTGTTCAATGTCAACACCTCCATTGTTCGATGGAACAAGCTATCGAAGTTGGAAAAACAAGATGGAAGCTTTTCTGATCTTACAAGAAGAAGATGTTTCTGAAGCTGTTGAGTCTGCATGGTCTCATCCCATGAAGACTATCCAATGCGAAGATGGTATTACCTCTCTTGTGAAGAAGCAAAAAATAGAATGGACCCTAAATGAAAGGCTGCTGCCATGGCCAACTTGAAAGCTCTCTTTTCGATCTTCAACGCTGTAGATGAAACTCATGCGAAGCTGATATCCAACTGCAAAATTGCTAAGGAAGCTTGGGACATTTTGGAAAATGCATTTGAAGGTTCTGTGCAAGTTCGAGAATCAAAGTTGGATCATGTAGAAACTTTGTTTGAAGGGATGAAGACGAAACAATCGATGTTTACTATAATCGATTTATGGATGTTGTAAATCAAGCTGAAGCTCTTAGAATACACTTTGAAGAGAAGAGGCTGGTGAGGAAGATGCTTAAAAGTCTCACAAAAAATTTCAAGCCCAAGGTGATTAAGCTCGATAAACCACCAAAGCTGAGAAATATAAAATTGGATGAACTGTATGGTACATTGGTGAGTTATGAAATGAACTATCTCGAAGATGAAGCACCTAAAAGTATGGCGTTAAGTGCTGAGGACACGGAGCTGATAAAGTCTGATGAAAAATTGGCACTGTTAAGTCGCAAACTTTCTCGAATTATTAGTGAAAAACGAGCTGCCAAGTTGAAGTATGGGAAGTTTCAGAACAAAATTGGCTATCAGGGAGTGAGTGCATCCAGTTCCCAACAAAAATACCATGAGCAAAAACCAACTACTTACAACAAGCCGAAAGAAAGATTCGATGGTGGATTCAAGAAGAAGTTTGTGGTATCTGCAAAAACTGAGACGGTTAAAGAACCTACCTGCTATGGATGTGATGGTGTTGGACATATTAAATCCAAGTGCCCAACTAACCTGTCGCGTGGTCAATAAAATATTTCACTTAATCCGTGATCACAATTTAATATAATATAGGGGAAGGGATCGTCTTCACAGGGATTGTGTGATTCACTCTTTCGTGTTCTAGTGCTGTAAATAAAAGGGGAAATTTCTTTTTATTATCTAATGAAAATAAAATAACAAAGCAATTAAATTAAGGGGGGAACTGACTATCAAGGGGATGCCTGGCTCAAGGGATGATGCAGTTATGGCACTTGTGTTTTATCATTAATTCAATAAAGTTAATTCTTATCAAAGTATTAATAAATTGGTTATAGTTATCAACAAGCTCTAACAAGCAATTTTTCCTTACAGTGTAGGTAATTAAGGTACGACCGTTAACTACCCCTAGTTAAGCAAATAAACCTAGGTGCGTCCATAAGAATATTGCCTAACCGCATTGTAATCTAGAAAAACCCAATTCAAAACAATTACTACCTAGGAGGAGCAATTAGATTTGATTGTCTAACCCCCGGGAAGGAATTATTCAACCCGATTATCACCTATTCAAGTGCGAATACAATTACGAATATCCTACCTGAATTGACTTTAGATTATCAGGCTAATTTAAATATCGGTACCAAAATATTCAATCAATCTAACAACCACAAACGCTATTCTCAGAATTAGACAAATATTGATAATAAAAAATAACTTTTATAAAGAAAATCAAGAATCTCCAAAACAAAAGAACCAAAATATTATCACCCCTCAAACCAGAAAAGTATCTACTCCATAATCAAATAACAAAGAACAAAAGAGAAAGATAAAGTCATAGTGGGAGGGGGAAATCTTCTCTGTCGATTTGCTCCTGCGCGATCTATGAATCTGTCAGTCTCCTGCTCATGTGCGTTTCTGCCCTAGCCGTTCCCCCTCGCCAAATAGGTGTGTCTTTTTCCTTCTTATTTGATTTTTGCCCTAATTATTTTGTAGATGGGCTTTTGGGCCTTTAATTAATTTTATCTCATTTTTCTGCCAATTATACCAAATTTAATATTTGCCCTCTGCACACATCAAATAAACAATTCGCATATAAATTAGGTAAAATCCAATCAAATTCACCCAAATATCGATATGATATGAATATAAAATGCATGCGATTTCTAACTATCAATTCTTCCCACACCTAGATCATGCTTGCCCTCAAGCATAAATTCAAAATAAGCCAAAGAAATCGCAGACAACTCGATATGACAAGAGGATCTAACACAACGAATTCAATCCGAATTTTAACACATCAAGTCAAGTCAACCTCACAAGATAAAGTGTATTCGCACATGTTTTATGAAGGAATTAAGTGTATAATTTGCTCAACACTCAGATAGTGCAACAAAAGATTATCCTATAGACTTGAGTAAAAATCAAGTCTGCTTTACTTAAGATATTCGAATCTAGCATAGAGAATCAAAGGGACTTTCAATAAGGGTTGTAATGGGGCTTATGGTCAGGGTAGGAAAAAGATATACAAGGGCTAAAATATGTTAGAAAAGAATACAATAAAAAAACGATGCTAGCACATGAAGAACAAATCGGCATAAACAATGAAATCCTTATTCTATTCACTACCCAAACTTCAATAATATAATTAAATAGAAATACTTCAAGATGATTATTTTAGTATTTATTTAGTATTTATTATATATATATTCTTTTTTTTATTTTTTTTATTATTTATTATTTTTTTATTTTTATTTTTATTTTTATTTTTATTTTTATTTTATTTTTATTTTATTATTTTTTTATTATTTATTTTTTTTTGGCTTTTGCCTTTTTATATAAATATATATATACCTACACTACCCACAGTTATTCCTTTTTACTATGACTTATTCGTACCCAAAGTTCATTTTTAACTAGTGCCGAAGAAATGAAGTGCATCACAACATGGACTTAAAGTAATTCATTCTAACATATGGTTCAAATCGGAGAAGGCTTAATCAAAAGAAGGGTATGAGGCTAAAAAATAGTTTATTATAAAAGAAAAAAATAGGCTAAAAAGGCTCAAATGGGCTAACTAGGGAAATATATTGTGATGGGTAATAAAGAAAGGCTTAATGGGTTCTATGTCATCTAATTGAGCACTACAAATCACACATGCATAATCACCAATCCTAATCACCCTAAACCCTAATGCCCTTATCATTTTCAAAACGCAAGACTCGATAGTTGCAAGTTCAACATGCATAATCACTCAAGTTCTAGGTCATCTAATTGAGCACTACAAATCACACATGAAATAAATTTCCAAAAGCTTGAATATATGCAATTTATTTTCTAATGTGACTTTTGGAACATAGGCTCAAATTCTCACAGGGTTCAAACGTCGACTTGACTCAACATATGACCAATCAAATGTCATTAGTCATGCCAAACTAACCTATCACACAAATCACCTTTGACTCACTTCAGAGAAATCTCAAAAACAAGCGAAAAGACCGCAAATCAGGCATAAAATGTAATAAAAAAAATGAAAAATTTGCCCAAAATTTTGCATAATTCCTCTCCCTACACCTAAAGTATGCATTGTCCTCAATGTAAAGAAAGCAATAAAAGAGGAGAGGAACTTCCCTGGAGTCCATAGGGGGTGTAGTAGTTGGGAGCTTTGTTAACACCTCTTTATTTGATCGTGATTTTTAGGGAGGCTTGAAGTTCTCCTGAGTCCTACAAAAACAACTAACCAATGCAAGCCATTTAGAGGAGCGGATGTGGTGATCGGCGATGACTGAGCAGGGGAGGAAGAAGTCGACGGCGCCGGAGGTTGGAGGCGGCGACTAAACCAAAAAAAACTATCAAAAGTGTTATTAGCAATTAAACAATAAAAATAAATAAAATTAAAGAAAGCAATTAAATGATTTTGGGTTGTCTCCCAAAAAGGGCTTTTCTTTATAGTCTTTGAGCTAGACTTCGCCTCGCATCAATTCTGAACATCGAAATCGGCAACGGGTGCCGACTTTATAGGATCAAGTGAGGGTCCCTCGTGGTATAATTTGATGCGATGTCTATTGGCCACACATTTTTTCTTCGGCTTAGAATTTTGATTCTCCTTATGATATTTTTTTTGCTGCCAACAATGGTGATCCTTTAGGAATCCATCTGAACTTTTCGACAATTTTTTTTCTTCTCTTACTCTCTCCAGTTAGTCTTTTATCTAACTATTTTGTCAACACAGTTCTTCGTTTATTCTCCTTACCAACTTCATAAGTTTCCTGTACCATAGAATTAATAACATTAATTGCATATAACGATTCAGATTCAACAGGACATTTGATAGGATTAAAAATATTGAAATGAAATTTTTCTCCATCAAACTCCAAGCTGAGTGTGCCCTTTTTAACATCTATCTTTGTTCCTGCAGTGCACATAAAAGGTCTTCCTAACAAAAGAGGCGGTGGATTAAAAAAATGTGCATCGTGCCTATCAAGAATATAAAAATCATCAGGAAAAATTAATTAATTCACTTGAACTAATACATCTTCTATCATACTATCGGGATAAGCATGGGTTCGATCAGCAAGTTGAATAATAATTCCTGTTTCTTTTAGAGGCCCTAGATTTAAAGAGTCATATATTGATCGAGGCATGACATTAATAACAGCTCCTAGATCTAGAATAGCCTTACTGATCTCAGCTTTTCCAATCTTACAAAGGATAGAAAACACACCTGGATCACCTGTTTTAGGTGGTACCTTTCTTTTGATAACAGCAGAAACGTTCTCACCCGCTATAATATGCTCGTCCCTTCGCAATTTTCTTTTGTTGGTGCACAGTTCTTTCAAAAACTTTGCGTACTTGGGGATTTGGTTGATAGCTTCCAAGAGCGGGATATTAAGTTCCACCTTCTTGAATATTTCCATCATCTCTTTTTGTTTGTTTGCCTTTTGTGGTTTCTTCAACCTGTCACGAAAAGGAGCTGATTTAGTTTCAGTAGGAGGAACAGAGTCAGGAAGTACCTTTTCGTGAAGTTCAGCTTTTTTTCAATCTCCATCTCAATCTGATCCTCATTTTGTTCCTTTGAGATAGGATGTGGACCTTCCAATTCCTTTCCGCTACGAAGGGTTATAGCACTCGTATTCTTTGGATTAGGCCGGGAGGAACATTCAATCATCGTATCACTGCAGATAGTGATGGCGCTGACATTTGCTGGATTTGGCTCAGGCTGAGCAGGCCACTTTCCTCTTTCTCGTAGATGTTTTACCTTTTCTGAAACTTGGCTAATCTGACTTTGTAGGTTGTCGACAGTTGACTTCATCTCTTGCTGGAATTGCAGGGTACTGGTAGCCATAGACTTCACCAAGTCTTCCAAGGACGGGCTGAAGTTGCTTGTGGGTGCTTGGGGGAGCTGTTTCTCGTAAGGGCGAGGCTGTTGCATCTGATGTGTGGCTCTAAATGGTTGAGGACCATGATTCTGGTGTGCGTTTCCATAGCGCAGGTTTGGATGATCTCTCCAGCCTGGATTGTAGGTGTTGGAGTATGGATTGTACGCTGGAGGTCTATTCATACCGTAGTTTGCAGCGTTCACATCCACTGCACATTCTTCTTGGAGGGTCGGACATGAATCTGTAGGGTGTCCTGTACTCGTGCATATTCCGCACACCTTGACCCGGACACTCGGGATGGATTTTTCCACGACCATCTTGCGAACAAAGCTCATCAACTCAGAAAGTTGTTGTTGTATCGATTGCATGGTATGGTCGTTATTGTTTTCGCTCATATGTCCAATATCTCTTGAACCAAATTGCTGCGTGTTTTTAGCCATCCTCGCAATAAGATCCCAAGCTTGTGCTGGCGTCTTATTTACTAAAGCTCCACCACTTGCAGCGTCGATGATGTTCCTGTCCATCAATGACAAACCATCATAAAAGTATTGAATCAATAACTGAGGGGGAATTTGATGTTGTGGACATTTAATGATAAGCTTATTGAATCGCTCCCAATATTCATGGGGCGTTTCACCTGATTGTTGCTTGATGCCACATATCTCCTTCCTCAGGATCGCAGCTCTCGAAGCTGGAAAGTACTTCTCCAAAAATTTCTTTTTCATGTCGTTCCACGTGTCGATGCTTCCAGGTGGGAGATAGTAGAGCCAATCCTTTGCAGCATCTTTGAGTGAGAATGGGAAGGCTCTGAGTTTGATCTGTTCATCAGTAACACCTGGTGGTTTCATGTTGGAGCACACCACGTCGAACTCTTGCAAGTGTTTGTGAGGTTCTTCACCTGCAAGTCCATGAAAAGAAGGCAGTAAATGGATTAAGCCAGATTTCAGTTCAAAAGCAATAGTGTTATTCAGAGTTGGAAAGTTAATGCATAAGGGCTGTTGTGCCAAGTTGGGAGCAGCCAACTCTCTTAGAGTGCGGGTATCCTTAGCCATGACAGTCTCTTGATTACTTTCGGAGTCGCTAGAACTAGATATTCTTAGGTGGTTTAAAGATTCTGCCAGCTTTGCAACCTGAGCAGCTTTTCGTTGCTTGGCTTCCTTTCGCAACTTTCGCTCAACATTCTCGATCTCAAGATTAAATATCAGTTCACCTGTAAGAGAAGAACGGGGCATAAACAAGAGGATAAATTAAAATAACACAAAAGAGTAAAACAAAGCGCCATTCCCCGGCAACGGCGCCAAAAATAGACCTGTCGTGCGGTCAATCAAATATTTCACCTAATCCGTGATCAAAATTTAATGTAATATAGGGAAAGGATCGTCTCCACAGGTGTGATTCACTCTTTCGTGTTCTAGTGCAGTAAATAACGGGGGAGTTTTCTTTTATTATCTAATGAAAATAAAATAACAAAACAATTAAATTAAGGGGGGAACTAACTATCAAGGGGATGTCTGGCTCAGAGGATGATGCAGTTATGGCACTTGTGTTTTATCTTTAATTCAATAAAGTTAATTCTTATTAAAGTATCAATAAATTGGTTATAGTTATCAACAAGCTCTGACAACCAATTTTTCCTTACAGTGTAGATAATTAAGGTACGACCGTTAACTACCCCTAGTTAAGCAAATAAACCTAGGTGCGCCCATAAGAATATTGCCTAACCGCATTGTAATCTAGAAAAACCCAATTCAAAACAATTACTACCTAGGAGAAGCAATTAGATTTGATTGTCTAACCCCCGGGAAGGAATTATTCAACCCGGTTATCACCTATTCAAGTGCGAATACAATTACGGATATCCTACCTGAATTAACTTTATATTATCAGACTAATTTAAATATCGGTACAAAAATATTCAATCAATCTAACAACCACAAACGCTATTCTCAGAATTAGACAAATATTGATAATCAAAAAGAACTTTTATAAAGAAAATCAAGAATCTCCAAAACAAAAGAACCAAAACATTATCACCCCTCAAACTAGAAAAATATCTACTCCATAATCAAATAACAAAGAACAAAAGAGAAAGATAAAGTCATAGTGGGAGGGGGAAATCTTCTATGTCGATTTGCTCCTGCGCGATCTATGAATCTGTCAGTCTCCTGCTCATGTGCGTTTCTGCCCTAGCCGTTCTCCCTTACCAAATAGGCGTGTCTTTTTCCTTCTTATTTGATTTTTGCCCTAATTATTTTGTAAATGGGCTTTTGGGCCTTTAACTAATTTTATTTCCTTTTTCTGCCAATTATGCCAAATTTAATATTTGCCCTCTGCACACAGCAAATAAACAATTCGCATATAAATTAGGTAGAATCCAATCAAAATTACCCAAATATCGCATATGATATGAATATAAAACGCATGCGATTTTTAACTATCACCAACAGTAAAGAAAAGAGAGAAAAGAGTATATCAAGCTACCTGGAGTGACAATGAAGATGGTGAATCTGTTGGTGATGATGAACAGACTGAAAATCATGAAGTTGTTGCATTTATGGCAAATGCAGATGAAAACAATGATGAAAAGGAAGAATCCAGTTCTAAAATTACTGATGAGTCAAGGGAACTTGATGCTAATGAGTTGATTGAGGCTTATGAGGAAATGGTAGTCGAACAAAAGAAAGCTGTGGTGAAAAATAAAGAACTTTTGGATACCATTTATCTTTTGGAGGATTAAAAGGAGAAGCTTGAGGATGAACTTGAGAAGTTGATGAAGCTTACTGATGATAAATCTGCTGAATCAGAAAAGTTGAAGTATGAGAATCTGAAGTTGAAGGATAAAAATGATAGACTTCGGAAAGGAAAGGAAAAATTAGATAAAGTCCTTTCAATTGGTAAACCATTTGGTGATCACAAAGGATTGGGTTTTTATGAATCTTCTCAAAGTAAACCAACTACATTTGTGTGTGGTGGTCTGCTGACTGATGTCAAGCTCCCAGAGAAGAAATCAACACAAGTCAGGAGACAGAATCCAAGGAAGAGCAGAAGCAGAAACAGGAACAGAAACCGCAGAAGAACTCAGAATGATAAGTCGAAGTTATCACAACCTACTGACTGCAAGTACTGCATGTATCCTAGTCATTTGGTTGAGAAGTGTTTCAAGCTGGCAAAGGATGTTATCAACGGAAGACACATTCAGTGGCCTACTAAAGGATTGAAACAGATTGTTAGAGGCAAAGGATGTTTTCAAATTGGTATGGATGCCCAAGGGAAATCAAAAGGCAAATATTCTTACAAAGGTGTTGGAGGCGGATCAATTTGAAAAGTTTTGACGTCATTTGGGTATGCATTCGTACCCTACTTTATTTTGCATGCATGGTCTTGAAATAAATTTTCCAATATATTTATGGTGTTTGGAATATTCTTGGTGAATATTGGAGAATAAAAATAATTTGGAAAGAAATTTTTTTTTTTGAAAAATTCAAAAACAAAAAAAAGGAATATTGAGAAGAAGCTTGATTGAGCAATGGTGAGAATCAGATATGATGCCTTTTTAGTGATCATGGTGGATTTTTAGGCTGTGGATTAATTCGACGTAAAGAGCTTTTCAGTCCTACACCGGATTTTGAAGGATTTTTAGGCTTTATGATATTGCACAATCCATTGTTGATGTTGTTGTTTGAAAAGTTGCTGGTGACGCTGATGAGGTTGCTGCTGCAACCATTTCTCAGCAAATTGAGGATGTTTTTAAGGATATTGATCTTTTTGGCATATGCATTTCGAGGGGGAGAGATGTGCATAGTAAGGGGAGTCTGTTGTGTCTGTTGTTTTTGCAGTAAGGAGGAGCCCTGGTGATTTGATGTTGTTGTTGCTGTTGATTAACTTTTATGTGGTTGTGTGCACGCTGTTATGACAACCAACTCATTCGAAAAGCTGCCTGTAGCCTATGTTTTATTTCGGCCTGTAACAAACTGATGAACTTACTAACTGAATTATTGGATTGGTTGGTTGGTGTGGGAGTGATTCTCCTGCACATTGGGCGGCGTCCCATATGCCAAAAGAAAGGGATAATGTTGGAACCCCAATTTATTTTGGCATATGGTCTTCCTGTTTTCCTACTGCTTCCTTTTACAGTTTCCATTTGAAGTAACTTGTCTTATCAGGTTGCTGCAACAGGCTGACAACAACATTGCTTGTCTTACACTCTCTCGATTAGTGAGCACACAAGACAAAGAAATGGATGTTTTGGGTGGTCAAATTGCATCAGAATTATGCAGGAATACATCATTCCATTTATGTGCAAAGGGCTTTAATTGATTTTGTTTTACATGCAACGCAATGTGGCTTTATAGATAATTGTGAGGAGAGAGTGTAGTTCTTAGAAGGTTTTGAGAATGTGTGTAGTGAGAGAAAAAGTGAGTTAAATTCTCTCAGCCCCAACCATTCTCTTCTCCATGTATTGAGTGAGTGCTAGACACTTTTATCTTTCCGAAGACCTCGTCGGAGGAAGGAGAAATCGGAGTTTCGGTCAGGGGAGGCGTCCAGATTCTGAGCAGCTCTGCTCTGTGGTCGTTGTCAGCACGAGTTTGTGACAACATAAACCTATGGAGGTAATTTCCAAGGTAAACCATGTTATGAGGAAGAGTTAAAAGAGTTGTGGTTGTCTTTGTTTTTAATCAGCACTGATTAGTGAACTTCTCCTGGATTGGTATCCTCCGGATGTAGGATTGTTTATATCCGAACCGGGTAAACAAACTCTTGTCTCATTTACTGCTTTGTATTTTCCGCATACATTCAGTTGGCAATAGAGTGTTACAACTGTGATATAACCACGCTTCGGGAGTTGGCCATTTGAGTAATACTTTTGTATGTATTTACAAGCATGCTATTCCCTCCGTCTCACCTACCATATCCACATTGTCGTTTTTGTCCGTCTTATATCTCATGTCACTTTATTTTTTTGTAAAATGACTACACACTTAATCTCATTTTAAATGTTTTAATTTAATTTTTTTTTAATTTTAATTAAACTAATTAGTTATCGTAATTTTAATCTGTAATCATTTATATCATAGGATAATTACTTTTACTAATACATTCTTAATTATCTAATAATTATATTTATCCTAAATTCATGTGTATAACCCGAACATACAATGTGGGACGGATGAAGTATTATTTTTTGCTCTACTTGTAAGGATATATTTTTCTTTACACACTTAACTACTATAGTCTACGGTTAAAATATTAATACTCCCTATGTCCCAAAACAATAATCTCCTTTTACTATTTTTATCCGTCTCAAAACAATAGTCTCATTTTCATTTTTGATAACTGATTTCACACATTTTTACAAAATTATTCTCACTTTTTCACAATAATTACATAAAGTAAGGTTATTTTGGTTTTTAGAAACACTTTTACATCTACTATCAATATAATTATATTGTTCCTTAATTCTCGTGTTAATCCCAAATTTTAGTGTTGTTTTGAAACGGATGGAGTATTTTCTAATTTTTGTATCAAGATCAAATATATAGACAGAGAGAATATTTAAAATTATTTTTATTCAAAGTATTTTACTTCCTCCATCCCAAGTATCGTGTTTCCTTTACTGTAGATAGAAGAATTTAAGAAAAGAATAATTAGTAAATAATTAAAAATATATTAGTGAAAATAATCATTATTTAATAAAAATAATTTTAAATTAAGATAATAACTAATTAGTATAATTAAAATTTAAAAATAAATAAATAAACTAAAAATTTTAAAAACGAGATTAAAGTACATAATATTTTTTCAAAAAAAAATGACAGAATAAATGAGATAGATAGAAATAGAAATGTGAACATGATAAATGAGACGAACAGAATATTTAATTATTAATTATTATATCAAAATTCGTAATATGCAAATAATATTCTTAATAGGTAGGTGCGAAGGAAGATAGTTCTAATATTGGGATAAATAGATGCTGCGCACATTAGAAGCTAAGTTTGTTGTTAATTAGGACTCAGTGAAATGATTGAATAGCAAAGGCATGCTTAGGCGGGATGGGCATGTGGCACTGTCCCAATTTTTTTGAGTTTAAATAACAAATGATAGGTTCTAAGGAATTTTGCAACCACCATTTGTAATTGAAATATTTGCTGTCGACTCCACGTCCTTCAAATATTTTAGTGGGTTTTACGATCTCATCATTATATTTATTTTACTGTATTTATTTATTTCT